TATAGACAAGAATTGCATGGAAAGAACGTGGTATTCCCTGCATCGTTAGTGGGATAGTCTACTAGAACGGCTAGGAACAAACTTCAATCAAGCAAACCTAAGTTAGGCAGTGGAAGAAATATCAGCCCTTCAAGAAAGGAAGACTGCTGCCACCAAAATAAGTCAGCAGGCTACCACACATTTGACAGATTAGGAATAAGTAACCGTGAGTTTTTGTCCCTCATTATTTTGATTTTCACACGCGAAGGTAGTGGAAATTAGAGAGATACAAAGATGGAAAAACCATCATGTTGATTGAAGATCAGAAAAAAATTCTTTCAGTTGAATACTTGGGATCTCTTTTTCAGCATAATAAATAAAAGGAGTGGCCTCGTTGGCGTTTTTTTCCCAAAAAAAAAAAAAGGAATAATAGTGCCTCATTGATCGTGCATATATATTTTAAATTAGAAAAGTATCACTAAATTAGAATTGTTTTTGGAAAAAGGTACTCTACCTTCGTAAAAAGATATCCTTACCTTCAATATAAAACAAATTAAAGTTCTGGTAGGCAAACATCATGAAGCTAAATTGTCACGGACAGTTAAGACTTGATCAACTTTTTTAAGTCCTAATTTATTTACCAAGAACCTTGAGTACTGAGTTAGTCGTCAAATACTATCCTAATCTTAGCCAAAGTGATGGATTATGTAACTTTTTTCTAAGTTTGGGCAGATAAATCTGGAGTTGTTAAAAGTCAGATGTGGATTTTGCAGGTCAATGGATGTTAGCTGCTTAAATTTAGAAACCACTCGAACCAGAGCTCACAAGAAACGTTTAAATAGGTCTAGAAAGCCCAGAATGAGACCAGAATCCTGCTTGGATTTCTGAACTTTGATTTTGGAATTCGTTACACTTGCACTTAAAGTGTTCTTAGCGTCTGTGATTTGACTATCATATACAATTATACAGTACTAACATTTCAGGTTCCTAATTTGACCCTACGGAGCAGAGCGGACCCACCTTTGACTCGTTGCCTTAAAACTTTATTTTAATGGGTAAAAAACAAAAGAGTCCCAGTGGGAAATCTAATATACAGAAAAATCTCCATGGTTTCAAAATATACAACACGACACCCCGTACTTTGAACTAAATTGTAAAGGTGACGGAATCCGTTAAACTTAATGGAAATGGAGAAAATAACCAAAATACCCTGATATAATTAAGCAAAAGACAGCTCAAAAAAATCATTTGTTTTATTCTTTAGATAGAGAGAATTGAGGGTTAAGGGATAAAACAGGTATATTTGTTAAAAATTAGGTATAAATTTTTTTTTTTTAGGTTCCAATAAGTCATTTCCGTTAAGTTTAACGGATTCCGTCACCTTTACAATTTAGTTCAAAGTACGGTCGTGTTGTATATTTTGAAACCACAGGGAGCTTTTCTGTGTATTAGGTTTACCACAGGAGACTTTTTTGTATTTTATCCTATTTTAATTCATGTGAAACGCAACAACAGATCTTCCCTCCAATTTTCTATTCCGCTCTTTATTTCACTATTTATTATATTCTCATTTCTTTTGCATAAACATTTATACTTTATATTTTTTTATTTTCTTAAATTGAAATAACTCTAAGGGAGTAAAAAATAAAATGCAACAGTCTAAAAAGATAATATATAATAGAAAAGTAAAATTTACAATAGAAAATTCACAAAATTTTCATTAAACAATTAATTTTGCTCTTTTTAGTTTGTTGAATTTCGTGTATTACCTTGTTAATATTTCTTGAAATCTTATGAAGACAGAAAAAAAGAATTATAATATGATGTTTATAAAGGAAAAATAAAAATATAATAAAAAATGGAACAATGAGTGGGATGGAAGATTCGTTCTCAAAAAAATATATATATTATCACATTCTATTGCTTCTGCTTATTTTCCTGCGAAAAAGGGAAAAGGAAGCTCAATTGTTTCCGCAAAATTCATTACCGTATATGAAACTTGCAACTGCATTTCACGACTTATTATCTAGGTTCATGATTTTAATACTCGCGTAAGTGAACGTCTAGCCCTGAAATATATCATAGTTATTGAAGCACAAAAATGGAAATATCTGGTTCCTTTATTTTGGTTACTTTAAGATAAGAAACTGGACGCAATAATAATAATAATAATAATAATAATAATAATAATAATAATAATAATAATAATAATGATAATAATAATAAAGGAGAAAGAATTCACAATGATCTTCTTAGTTTCTTAAATTTAACAATAAAAGTATTTTAAAAAGTTTCTTCTCAAAGCAAAGCCGACATTGGCTTCTCCCTTTTTACAGTTTCTTTAGACCCCCTCCCTGTAGAATAAGACAAATTAGCCTCTTTAGATTTTTTAGATTATACAAATGTTATCATTGTCAAAAAACAAGTCAACTATTTATCATTCCCCTACATAGACTAAATTAGTTTATACAAATGTTATCGTTGCCAAAAAAAAAAAAAAAAGAAGAAGTCAACTATTTATAATTCCCCTACTGACTGAACTTAATGAAAATCACCTCCTTTTTTTTTTCTCTCTTTTTAATTCCTGAAATACTGGTGGATGTGGAGGGAAGGAGGCACCCACAAGACTTTAGAAATTCTTTTTTCCCTCCTTAAAAAAATTAAATTTTTTATATCCTTTTAGAAATTAGACTTTACCCTCTCCCCATTAAGATTTTTTAGAAATCCTTCATTTAATCTTAAAATTTAACAGTTTTCACTTATATCGTCGCAATCTTAGACTTCCTTTTATGTACTTGTACACCTTTACTAGTCTTGCCCCCAAATCCTTTTTTTTTTTCGCCCCTAGTTCTGCATTATAAATGTTCTCAGGGAAGTAATACTCATTGATTTCCTAAAATACCTTTCTACATAAATAAAGTCAATGTGAGGTTAAAAATGAGAGATAAATGCTAGTCAAGACAGTACAAGTTGTCCCTTTATTCCTAATTTCTTATAGTTGATCTCTGAAATCTTAAAAAGAATTGGGAAAATTTGGCACATCTTCGCCTATATATTTTTCCCTCTAACAAACCTTCTGAGACATGCTAGCATGTTGAATCTCAAAGTCGTAACATAAATATTTTTCTTGTAAACTGGATTGAGCTGTGACGGCTGACAAATGCTAAGACTATGTAATACCTATTATATTAGAATCGAAATCCTGTGTTTTAAGCTCCTTGAAATTGAACAGTAAGACAAATACATTCTTAAATTTTACCAACAGGAAGAATATTCGTACCTATATATATATATAATTTCATCAAGTTGTATTCCATTATATCAACTTGATCCCAACTCCTAATTACAGTCAACATCAAGTTGGTGAATATGAAATTGATAACGTTGACAGTTTCATGTACTTTCTGCCTTCAAGGAAAACCAAGATGGCCAAATTTTTCAAATTCTAATTCCTATAGCATTTTACGGCCGGCAAGCAGCAAAAGTCAGCGGCACCAAATATGTTCTACTATTAATGTGACCATTCGAATTGAAGCCCACCTCTTTGATCAACTCATCGGGTTTTTTTTTTTTTCTTTTTTTCAACTGTTTAATCAGTTCCAGTTGCACTATAATATTCAATTACATGCAGTGCAAGAGTTGGATTTATTTTCTTTCACGACTTTGTTGCCAGTGCTCGTCAATGTTTAATAGGCTTAATGTTCGTTCAGTCAAAGTCCATCTGCAAATTCCTGTGCATTACTAACTAATGGGATTGTGACAAGAAAGTTGCCCGTTTAGTCTTCGAGTCTAAAATTTGCTTGTGCCCACATGTATTTCCAACCTGTTCAACACAATTACTTGGCACGTAATTATCATTCTTTCAATCACCGTTTTTAGCTAATACTTAATGAGTAAATCTTATATATACTGACAGTTTATATACTATAATCATTAGATTCATGACATGTGTGCAAATGTTGAATTTCAAATTCAAATTTTACATAGTTATCATTCATCCAACGCTGACAGTGTATACACTGTAATCTATACTTAATTAGGGTTTTTTTTCTCCTATTTTCTTCCATTGTATTAGGTTAAATTTAGAACATATACATCTTTGGTGTTTGTTACCATAGGAACCTACATGGTAAATCTTGATCTTATAATGGGTGATAAGTTCGCAATTAATGGCTGATAAAGCAATATAAGTCAGTTTTGCTCAGTATACATCTTCAATTTCTTTGTTAAAGAGAATGCATTCGATAATTCATGTCAAAAACATGCTACTCATGATGGATTTTGTATTTTTATGTCAAAGTTTATTTGTTATTAGTTGTTCATATTTTTGTTATCACTTACAAAATAATTCTGCATGCGTTGTTGCTTTGTATGATTAGTGGAACCAATTGTTCTGATTTTTCTAATAAGATTACAACTAACATGTTATTGTCCAACATATTGTCTAATTATAACAAACAAGATTACACGTACCCAACAACAATATAAGGAGATGACTACAAACATATTCTTAAATTACGCTCACAATAGTAATAGTAGAACCTCAGATCTCCTTCCGATAACCATGGTACAATTAAATGGTTAAAACAACTGTCATGGGAAGAAAATAAACTTTGTGATTCCAGAATAACAGACACAATAAATAAATAAATATAAATATAAACATATACATATATTCATACACACACACACACACATATATATATATATATGTATAATGGTACTAGAACTTAAAGCCCATCTAACTCAAATTTAAAGAAATGGCAGATTTCATCATGACAATTTATTTTTCTAACTAAATAGAGGAAATATGCGGGATTTACTCTGGTTTACTGGATTACATTGTATAAACTGAAGCCACATGACACCGCGGTCTGATCATCAGTTGAGGTAAAAAGAACAACCCGGCCTGGGACTTCAGTCGGGACATAATTTGCAATTCTGCAAAGTTTCTTCGAGAAGGACTTGTAACTTTGCAACATGGCACATTTTGACTGTAATTTATTAGTATATTACTGGCTTCTTTTAAGCTTTATTTCCAAGCCTTTATTTGGTAAACACCTTCTTCACAAGTCGCAGATTGACATCACTCTCACCCTCCAGACTGGAATTCACGTAAGAAGTGATTAACAACAAAGCATTTTTAAAAGTAATTATATGTTACATAGCTCTCACAGAATTTGTAATTGTAATCAAAATGAACAGAGGGAAATTTCAGTATGAAGAAACAATGAAAAAGTATAAGTATTGATTGAGCCTTTGTAACCAAGAATTTTATGCATAACCGCAGAACCCATAATCACAGCGATCAGCAGGTTTGCATTTGATGTTGCATCCGCCGCAGTTGTTCTTATCGTACAATGTATTCTTGCATTTTCCGTTGCAGCAGTTTTCACCAAATTTGCACTTGATGTTGCATCCACCACAATTTATAGTATCGTTCGACTTGTTCTTGCATTTTCGATTGCAGCAGATTTCACCAGATTTGCACTTGATGTTGCATCCACCACAATTGTTCTTATCGTTTGATGTGCTCCTACATTTTCCATTGCAGCAGATTTCACCAGGTTTGCACTTGATGTTGCATCCACCACAATTATTCTTATCGGATACCATGCTCCTGCATTTTCCATTGCAGCAGATTTCACCAGCTTTGCACTTGATGTTGCATCCACCACAATTATTCTTATCGGATACCATGCTCCTGCATTTTCCATTGCAGCAGAATTCACCAGCTTTGCACTTGATGTTGCATCCACCACAATTATTCTTATCGGATACTATGCTCCTGCATTTTCCATTGCAGCAGATTTCACCAGATTTGCACTTGTTGTTGCATCCACCACAATTATTCTTATCGGATAATATGTTCCTGCATTTTCCGTTGCAGCAGATTTCACCATTATTGCACTTGTGGCCACACATAAAACAGTTCAAGCTATCAGTCTTCACATTGACACATTTCTTGTAGCAGCAATCTGGTCCAGCACTGCCCTTCAGACGACAAACTCTTGGATATACGTCACAGGTATAATTTCCCGGAAGTTTTTGCTGAGCAAGGGAGCGGCCACTTAGTCGTATCAAAGGCTTGGATCCTCCAAAATCAGGGGTTAGAAAATCATCGAAGTTGCTCAAGTCCTCGTCTTCATCAATCATGTCATCAGCCCTGAATGCTCCAACGATAATTGTTATTGATGATAGAAGAAGGAAGAGTATGAAGAGTCTTAGTGCCTCCATGGCTTTGAAATTTTAGTTGTAGGACTCTGGGAGGCAGTAGGGAGTTGAGAATGACATTCGAGGAATTGGGCTTTTTATGGAAGCATTAATTGGCAAAGAGTTGACTGAGGGAAATTGAAGTTGCAAGTCTTGCTTTTTTTCTGTTGTCCCGATTCAATTTACTACTTGCAGTTTACCGAGTCTAAGAAATACCGTGTTTCCACTTGCCAATCAGCGAATCTATTTTCAAACAACTATTTTCTTGATTGGAAATGAAGAAAGTGGATTACCAGAGGATCTGTATCCCCACTCTAAAGAAAATGGCAGCAATGGACTTCTTGATTGGCCTCTACTCGCCCAGGGGTGACACGGTATGTGGTCGGTCAAGTGTGTATATTCTTGCTTAGAAGGGCAATTTGCTGAATTTTTCACTGCTCCACTACTTTATTCATGATGTCAACCTTCAACAGCCTGCAGATGAAAGCAAGGATCTCTAAGGCCTAGAATTTTGAATTCTTAGTAATTTTCTGAAGCGAAACTCGTTAATTAGGAAGACTCAGTGAACCTTTTTTTTTTCCCTCCTGTTTTTAATTCTTTCTTCTTTTTGCAGACTCAAGTTCAATCTTAACTTGATTAGCATAGAATTGAAATTTATAGGAACAAAACTCAAGTTACTCGAGCTCATCTCAATAAAAATTCGCTCGAGTTAGGCTCGATAAATAAATAAATCAAACTGGAGCACAACTGTAAACTCGTTAAAATAATCAAACAAATTTGAACATAAGGTTTGATTAGACTCATTCACATCCCTAAACCAGAGTAACCATTACCAACTGTCTAACTCTTGCTCTACAATGAGACATACCATTCGATTCCTAAAGTTAAAGCAATACATCGGAGAAGATCTAAATCAGAAACTACGCCTTACATGTTCAAAGAGATTCTAGAAAAAGGAAAAAGATGTGAAATGATGTTGGAATAAAATCTGATTTCGTTTGCAGCTCTTCTGTCAATTAAAGTGGTCGACAAATATTTCCCTTGTTGAGTTGGGTAAGTAAGGTACATATTCTAATCCTCCCAGCCGCAGCTTTCGAGGATCAAGTGTGCCTAGTCTTGCCTGCATACACGATTATAAAGGATCGAAGAAGCTATCATTTAAGACATTCCAATTCTACTCCAAGAAATTACACTAGTATTTCTGAGCAGCCAAAGACCATGATTTTTCATTGTCTCATTTTTGTGGGTTTTATCTCTTTCCTACCCTCAACTGATTCCAGTATTTCTGCACTCAGCGAGAAGCTTTCTCCCACGATGAATAATGACAAGATTAATAATGTTCCTATAATGGAGTTGCAATCCAGCAAGGGGCAATACAAGCTTCCCGTTCCACATCAGAACTTGAGGCCGCGGAACCTCCGGCATCACCCTCTCCGCCTAAAATTAGTAAGGGGTGGTGCTTCATTCTTGCAGAAAGTGTTGTATTCTTCTTCCGATTACTTTTCCTTCCTTCCTTCGTGATTCTTGATCTTAGCTTCAATGAAACTTGACACTTCACAGTCACTGACGGAGTAGCCATGTGGCCCTCAACTTTCAAATATTAGAATTTAAGCTAATAATTTTGTTAATTTAGCTCGCACTATTGCACTGCATAAAATGCGACTTAAATTATTGATTGAGCATCAAAATCATAGATAAAATAGTGTAGAATATGATTATGTGAGAGTTGCCAACAGGTCCATGGAATGGTCAACATTTTTGGATGGGGAGTTCTCTTGCCTATTGGTACAATAGTTGCAAGACACTTCAAGAAATTGCCTTCGAACAACGCTGATTGGTACTCTCTGCACATATTATCCCAAACATCAGGATTCCTTTTGGGCACAATTGGATGGGGCCTTGGTTTGTCTATTAGAAGTGCAGCCAAAAAGCATAATATGAGTGTCCACGGAATTCTTGGCACCATCATTTTTGCCTTGGCCACATTACAAGTAATTAAGATCCCAAATCCCTTCCTTTTTTTTTTTTTTGGTCAATTAAGGGTTATTTTTGTTTCTTTATGCAGACAAGACAATAACATATTACAGTTAATTATAGCAGTGTGTGTGAGACCAAATCAAGAAGAACATGGATCGAAGACTTATTGGGTGATAAGCCATCATATTTTGGGCTATGCTCTGATTATTCTCATCATCTCAAATGTGTATGAAGGAATTGGCCATCAAAATTTTGCAGCAGCCAAGAATTGGAAATGGATTTATGGCGCCATCCTGGGGGCACTTGTCTTTACATTCCTTGCATTGGAGCTTGTAAGGCGTGTTAAATTTGATGTCAGGTCGGCGTAGTGATTCTAGATCATCAGAAGAACTACTGTATTTTTTTTATATATATATATATAGAAAACGAAAATTCAATAATAATATTATTAATGAGTTAGTTGGAAATCGTTCGAGTACAATTTATTTGACAAGGTCGGGAAGAAAAATTCATAAAGATTCAGTTAGGTTGGCAAATTTAACGATCAAAACTACTACATCTGATTGTATGACTAATGGAGGAATTTCATGTAATTTTCTTATCGATTTTTTTATTAATTGAATGTATATTTGAATTTTTAATTAAATCTGCTTTACTGTTCGTTAGCTCTTTTGAATTGATTGCAACATGTTTGATTATCCTAAAATTTGATTTTTGAAATTTTACACCAAGAAATACGGAATTTCAAATTTTTTATTGTTATCAAGGCTATACATCTCATCCACTGGTTTCCTTGTACAATACTTCATTTATTATCACAAAAGATGTTTCTGAACATTTTAGAGGTTGGTGTAAATTTTTTGTGTCATTTTTTATAATTTTTATTTTACCCTCCAAATAAAGGATAAAATAATACTGTCATCTCTCTGAAATAAACACATACACGCACCCCTATTTTTCTATCCTAATATAACTTCCAATAAAGAATAACTGCTAATAACTTTCTATCCCAAAAAAAAAAAAGAAAAAAATATTTTTTCTATCCCAAAGAATAACTGCTAATAACTTTTATGTGAAAATATCCAAATGGAAACCTACTTGTGAATTATACACACAGGAGATATTGACTGCCTATCAATATTTTTTGGTAATAATGCAAATTAAAAGCGAACTATATATTTATTGGCGATGGATCTCATTTATTTATTTGGGGGTTTATTATGAGTTTTTGGATGCCAGGTGGTAATTGTTACCCAAAGAAAGAAAGGACAATGGCCCGAATTCAAACAACATAAAATCAAAACCGTAGAAATATAAAAGAAAAATTTGTCAAATTGATCCCTAACATTTTCATAAAAAACTTTTTTAGTCCCGAATATTTAAAATCAGCCAAAATAATCCCTAACATATAAATTATGAGCCAGTTTGGTCCTAATGCTCGTATTTGCTTATTTCTCCGACTAAAAACAGCACACCTCTCTCACGTGGGCATAATTTCAAGGGCAAAATAGGAAAACATTGGTTAATCCATGGTTTTACAGGCAAAACCCCCTTGGATTCCTATTACTTTTCTCCCTTTCCCTCGACACCATTTTGCAAACTAGCCGGAAACCATCAACAAATTTCACCTTCTCAGTCAAAGCAGCGTTTGCACTTTTCTTGATTTCCCTGTCCCCATATCAAACCGCCAAGCCCTTCTTCAATTTCAACATACCTCTCAAAATAATTCAACAAAGTCTCAAAACTCATCTCAATTGGTTGGCGCATTCTCCACCAATTTTATTGCTGACAAACCCATCAATTTTATTGCTGGGGTTTTCTAGGGCAAGCAAAAAAGACTTAACATTCTTGAAAGTAACAAAACCATAGACTTTTGATAAAAATCTTGCGGTAGAATGGGATGTCATCAACGATGGAAAGAACGGTATGGAGACTGCTAGGATGGACAATTACAGCTTCTGAAGGATTCAACAACTTGGGATTTCGTGAAGGATTGCAAAATGCAAAATTTCACCTTCTTCAAATTTCAAGTTTTCTGGTTCTCTTGAGATCATTAGGCTTTGGGTTAGTGGTAATGGTGGAATGCATCTGATGGAGTAGGTGCAGGGAAAATGACTCAAGATTGACTCTAGGAGGAGTGGATGGAGTTATGGAAGAGTAGCCGTTGAGAACTCGAGCTTTGAAGAGAATATTCTTTTTCTTTCAGAGTCTAAAATCATGGATTAACGAATGTCTTCCGATTTTGCCCTTAAAATTATATCCACGTGAGAGAGGTGTACTGTTTTTAGTCGGAGAAATGAGCAAATACGAGCATTAGGACCAAACTGGCTCATAATTTGTATGTTAGGGACTATTCTGGCTGATTTTAAATTTTGTGAAAATGTTAGGGACCAATTTGGCAAAATTCCCAATATAAAATGAGCAATACTTTATGGACCAAAAAATATATTTGGACCCTATAAAACCAATATTTGCTCCAAAGTCCCAAAGAAAATGGAGAGTGCAGAATCAGCCTCAGCAATCGCCGAGAGAGAAAAACGGGACAACCAAAATCCGATTTCGAGCGTACCGAAATTAACGGAAAGTGGGAGTTCAGAAATGGCGGCTGCTTCCGCCATGGACGGTGTGGCTGCGGCGGCACTGAAATCGGTGCTGCAGCGCCTGCAACAGACGGCGGATAGGTGCGGACGTGGGTCAGATAGGATCCGTGTAGTCGCTGTTAGCAAGACGAAGCCGGTTTCACTTCTCCGGCAAGTTTACGACGCCGGCCACCGTTGCTTCGGGGAGAACTACGTCCAGGAACTCGTAGAAAAAGCGCCTCAGGTTTTTCTTCTACTTCTTAGCTCCTCCCTATACATAATTTTAACTTTGCTTATTTTTTTGAAAAAAAATTGCAGATTTTTGTGGGGATTAGTTATTGAGGAATTTATTTTTTGTATTTCAGTTCGTTCGTTTCCCGTTAATTTTTTATTTATAGCAGAAGTATGAGATTTTTATCAAAAAGATTAATACGAGATGATGGACTATAAACATCCAATTTGGGGTGGAAATGAAGACCTTGAAAGAAAAGGATTGTATTTTGGCTGAGTTTTTCTACCTTTTTTTTTTGTTTGCTCACATTTTGTGTGATAGGTATACAGAAAGTATGAATCTTTAGCTGAAAATTTATGTTTTTTGGGTGAAAATGCAGCTACCGGAGGATATAGAGTGGCGTTTCATTGGGAATTTGCAGAGTAATAAAGTGAAGCCGCTTTTAAGTATGTTTTCCTAACTCCGAACTCCCTCATTTTCAGAGTATGTATACATGCAACTGCATCTTGGTTTTGATTTCGTTGGTTTAATAAAAAGGCAAGTGTGCTAAGAAAAAATGGAGATAAACTAGAAAACAGTTCTTGAGTTTCTAGGAAATGAGTTTAGTTGGAGTAAGATGTAGGCTGAGTGCGAACCTCAGTCTTTTTTTTTTTTTAAGGGGTACTTGGATAGGGAAGATATGATGTTCGGATGGAGGATTTAAAATGTTATTCTGGAGCAATTTCTTGAACAAAATCTTTTGATGCTTTACGCCTGCCCTTCAAGTTAAACTAAACATGCAATTCCAATTCAACCTACTGTCCGACATTCTGACTGGATAGTTAATTTAGACTGATAACCTAAATTTATGATTAAGTGTCAGATAACCTATTGTTCTTTGAGCATTTTGGCTCATCATTTCAAGGTAGTATTGAAAGCAGTGTACTTAGCTAATAGGGCTTTAAATAGGACACTTGATTGTTTATGGTTCATAATGTCAGTCATCTAGAGTTTGAAAGACCGATACAGCATTATATTTGCCAATTCAGCAGGAACGGACTGATGCGCGCTTAATTAGTTTACTCTCCGGTTGATCATCTGTTTAATAAATGGCTCTATGGTGTCCAGAAGTCTGGATTTTATTACTTGTATTTCTTGAAACTTCTTATTGCCCCATTTATATTCTTTTCTCCAGTATGTTGAGTATACTGTGCCATTTTCTTATCAGTTGATTCTCAGCCACTCTTTTTTTTTTTTGCCAGCTGGAGTGCCAAATCTTGCCATGGTGGAAACTGTTGATGATGAGAAGGTATGAATGTTAGCAGTAATAGTATTTTTATCAAATAGGTGAGGACCTTCATAGAGTTAGTTCTTGGTGCTCTGTGGTCGCACTTTGCTATTGTGCTGAGTCAAAAGGTATCTACATTATTAAGAGACGCTTTAGCTACATTTATAATACTTTGGTAGTAAGGCTGTCGGTCCAAAGATTTTCTAAAGTGGTTGGTTTACATGCTGAGACATGTCATGATTGATAGCGAGTAAGGTTGAAGCTGTTCGTCCTAGGTGATTACTGCAAAAGCACCTCCCAGCATTCCCTCCCTTCCTCCATCTGTTCTAGTCATAATTAAGTTTAAATCACTGTGTTGCTTCTCATAGTAAAGACGACTTTACTTTCAGCATAATGAATCTTAAAAAATTTTTAACTTGGAGTTCAGAAAATGTTGCTGGATCATATGGATAAGTACAAACACATCTACTTGCGCCAATGGTTCCTGATGGGCATTGTGATGATACCCAATACCTGCTAATGAGTATCATTGCCGATGTCTTTATGCATTGTTGTGATTGTTATTGTCTTGAACTCAAAATCTATCCTTTGATCTTGTAGATTGCCAATCTTCTTGACCGCGTGGCTGGAAACATTGGAAGAAAGCCTTTAAAAGTGTTTGTCCAAGTTAACACAAGTGGGGAAGCATGTGGGTAACTAGCGTATGTCACTAATTTAGTAGGATCTCCAGTATTTTTCAGAAGCATATAGGAAGCCACGTTTAATTTGCTGCTGGTCACAGTTCCTTGGACAGATCAACACACTGAGACACAAACACTGCAATGAACAAATTTTTTCTGCTGGAGAAAAATGAAAAATTTGTTAAAGTTAGTTTTTTCTGCTTTTTGCAGCTAAATATGGTGTTGAACCTGCTGGTTGTGTGGAGCTTGTCAAACATGTTACTTTGTGCTGCCCAAACCTTGAATTTTGTGGCCTAATGACAATAGGAATGGCTGATTATACTTCCACCCCAGAAAATTTCAAGGTGGTAATTTTGGTTAAATTGGTAATTGTTGTCTCGGATTGTCTTATTCTAGTGCCATTTAAATTGTTCTGATGATGGCAGTGATTTACTTGCAGACTTTGGCAGATTGCAGAACTGAGGTCTGCAAGGCACTTGGAATTACGGAAGAGCAATGTGAACTGTCAATGGGCATGTCTGGCGACTTTGAGCTTGCTGTAAGTTAATTTTCGCTTGTGACTCGCTGTTAGCATCTCATTTGCAACTGAGATATATTTCTTGAAGTGAATGTACCATATTTCTTGTTGGTTTTCCCCATTCGCGTCTTTGGGTTGGAGTATTAGGCTTTCCTACTCATCGCCTGCATGACTTACGTGAAGTATCTTGTGTGTGGTGTTTTTTTTTTTTTTTTTGGCAGATTGAAATGGGTAGTACAAATGTTCGAATTGGATCCACCATATTTGGAGCGAGGGAGTATCCAAAGAGGCAGTCGAATTAGCAATGCAAATATCAGCATCGCCACCCTTGGCAAGTTTAATTACAGAAATCACACACCGTTTACCCCCAGCAGCTGCTTGATCAGCTTGCCCAAGATTTATGTTGTATTTTTTAATATCATGCAAGCTAGACTGAGCCCTCTGATTTTAAGGTTGCTTATATTTGAGCCCTCTTGACAGTTTTTAATCACTTATATCCGCTGATGTATCAAATGGCATGCAAAGCACTTGATGAGTTGTGCATTTTTTTCTTTTTTATCTTCAATTCTTAAAACTGGCCGTCTCCTTTTTTCTTCCTTCCTATGGCTTTCAACATACACAACAGTATTTTCGAGGAGCCTATATTAGCAATTTGGCACTACGCTAATGGCACTCCATTCTACATTTCCTTCTCTGCATTATTGGACTGGCTTTTCTTGGTTTCCCAATTTAAATTAGTCAAAAGTGATATTTAGCTTCGTCTATTCTTTCCCAGCAAGCAAATGGACGACCAATTAGGAGTATTATTTTACCCTGCACCTGCATTCCTGTCCCTATTGCAGGCCAGCCGTCTCCTGGTGACTTGTTCCTCGCAATAATTTTCCGAAATCTGCTCCGTGTCGCACCTCATTTTTTTAAAAAATAAATAAATGATTTATTTTGGTGCTAGAAAAAATGTATTTTATTTGAAAATTTTTATTTTAAAATTAGTTTTTATTTTAGAGAATAAAAAAGGAGGGTCCAAAATGGGACTTAAAAAGTGCGACGATTTTGACCCAAAATTAATAGTTTAAGAAGGGTTTTTAACGAAAAATAAAAGTCGACACTTGGTATCGAGTTTAGAAAACAATTGAGTTTGAAGAGATTGATATCATTTGGAATAGGTTGGAGATTTATTTATAATTTTCGCAGATCTGGTATATATGTAAATCTTTTAAATCTGTTGTTTCTATGATACATTCGATGATTATTTTTTTGTCATTAGTGCAGATTTATGAATGAAATGATATTTTTTATTCAAAGAAAAAAAAAAGAAAAAGATCAATGATGATTATAGGACTTACCATTATTCAAGCGACTGAGGTAAGGTACTCAGATGATCTTTTAGTAAAAATAGAAATAAAAATGAAGTAAAAACAAAAGGTAAAATTTTGGTCTCTACACTCCGAGACAAAATTCTAGGGATACAAACCAAATAAGATACTAGATGGGATGACAATAAAAAGCAAAGAATAACAGAGCGTAACATACTCAACCGCCGTTATTCCAGATCCCAAAAGATCTCCATGCAAAGACATATAGGCAAAAGGAACAAACTAACGAGTATAACTCCAGAAACACAGATGAATCTACAGCACAAACAACAGGGAACATGCAGTCCCAAGATGATGAGGTTAGCTACAGGGCTGATGGGTATGTGCCTTGCCGGTTACATAGCTGTCCCGCCAATTTATTGGCACCTCTCCGAGACACTGACTTCCGTAGGCCACTTTTCTTGTCCCCCTTGCGACTGCGATTGCCCTGATCTACCCCTTTTCTCCAACTCACAAGGTAGACAAAAATGTACAGCATGTTACCAATTATCCCTCAATGATGATGGTTGTTTATATTATAAATATGTGAAAATCCAACAGTTATTTCGCCATTGGACAGTGAATTTTTTTAACCTTAGGGTATGATAAACGTAAATGCCATTTTTATTTGGTCATCTGGAAATAATTTTTGGTACTATCACATGCAATGGAATTTTTATTCTGGGTTCATCCTAGAGTATAGTCTGATGAAACCATTAAAATTTGTTGAAATAATTTGGTTTACAGTCGTCGGCCATGTGTGGAAATAATTTGTTGAACATACGTGTCTGATTAATTTGCTAGATGCATTAATGCAGTATTTATAGCGATGAGCATATCTAAGCGTACGTGGTTTCGTTGTTTACCATGCAGGGTTGAACTTCAGTTTCTTTACAGGTTAGTTCTTCAATTCCCCTATGAAGTATCATGAACGCAGTCTAGGATAATATTTCTGGCGCCATGAATGATTGAAGTCTACTTTGAAAGATGCAAGCTCTCAATTTGCTGCGAGACCATTATTGACCTAGGATTCTTTTTTGATCGAAGAAGATCTACTGTCATTAAAATTCTATCATTTTATATTCTTGGTGTAAGATGGCCTCCTTTGTTCTTCTTGATTGGAGATAAATCTACGAATCAGAGCACTTAAATACCAGTCTGTTCCTTGCAACATCATACAGCAGAATCACTGGCTGAATTAGCTGATATCAACTTGGTGCTTTCAACAGTAATTAAAATCCATTTCCTTTGAGGCCGCGCCTCGGAACTTCGCATGTTCTGCAGCAATGCTAGGAAAGAAGGCTTTGACATTCCCTTGCATAGTTGATTAAGTGCGTCTTTAAAGAACTCTCCTTCGGGGGAAGAAAATCAGTTTACACAGGAACAGGACATTTTAGGGTGCCCCTTTGCTGATTAACATGATGGTTTTCTATTCTTACTAATAGTTGATTATTTCCCCACTCAGATTGCATGAAACATGATCCCGAAATGAGTGAAGAGACGGAAAAGAGTTATGTGGATTCGTTGTCCGACGAGTTGAAGCAGAGGGAAGCTGTAGCTCTGGAAAATCAGTACCGCGCCGACATGGCACTGCTGGAGGCTAAAAAAGTAACGTCACAGTATCAGAAGGAAGCAGAAAAGTGCAATTCCGGGATGGAAACTTGTGAGGAGGCCAGGGAGAAGGCAGAAGCAGCTCTGGAAGTGCAAAAAGAGCTCAGTGAGATGTGGGAGATGCGGGCTAGGCAAAGAGGATGGAAGGAAGCCACCATCTGATCATATCATCTTAGGCTCATTGTAGAGTCGTGGTGCAAAGCTTATAGCAATGCCCCGATTGAGTTGGGAACTGTGATCCTACTAAATTTAAGTTAATCAAATGTCAGAGCTTCAATTTGATCCCCCAGATTATCAAATCACAAAGCCTTCTTCATTTGCAACACCACTTCTTTCCTTTGTTTTTCCAGGAATGATGGATTGCAGAAGTTGGATGCAGGAGTAAAGGATTGTGTGTATATGGTTATAAAACTCATTAGCCAACAAATTACAAGTATAAATTGCACCTTTGAACTTTCCAAGTTCTTTACAACCTGAATGAGTATAAGAATGGTCTTTCAGAGTTGATGGCAACTCTAGCTATCAAAAACTGGGTGATTCGATTTCGAACAAGTCATAATTGGGTGATAGATATAGTTAAGTCATCCTATCAAAATAAACGGATCAAAAATGAATATGACCCTCAATGGATAGGAATTACCTATTTATGACCTACTTATGACCTATTTAAAATTTTACTTACAATTTTTTTGTTCGACAAGAAATAATAATATTTTATTACGGTAAGAAAAAATCAAAGATATAGTATCAAGGTTAGTAAATAAATCCTTTTATCCAATAAAAAGAAAAAAATCAATGAAAATTGTACATACTAAAAATAATGATCATGATGAGCTTCAAATGATGTCAGACTATAAGAGTTGAAATATTTAAGTATAACAAGAGAAATCAATTAACACAATAGTTGAAGAGTTTACTTGAATTTTAGAAGCGGAGGAGAGAAAGAGAAGGCAAAAATAAATGAAAAATCAAAGAAAACAAATATAATAGTAAACATGATGGATAAACTTTGAAAAATAGTTATTGAATTGATGAAAAATCTAAAATTTTCCACCTAACACCTACTAATAAATGAGTTTGAATTTACATTAGTTTTAAAATAAAATGGGTCCACACTGGTGATCCAAAGTCAAGCTATCATCTAACACCCACTAATTAAATAAACCTACTTGAACCACTCATTTAGACCTAAACAAGATACATTACACACCCAAACCCATTTATTTGTGGACGAATATTGGAGTGGGTCCCCTTAAAACAACTCTAATAATGTCTACATATGCTTTGGGCAATTCATGCGTATGTCAATATGGACATACAGCTAAGTATGTAATTGGGCCTTGTATCAACAACGATCTACAGGCAGCCCCGGGTCAACCTAAATATCAGTATCAACTACCAAAAAACATCTCTGCTTGCTATATATTTTTATCTGTATGTATGATATCTATCAATCTTTGTATATCCTTACTGGGTAGCATCAGCATTTTACATAAGATAGCAACTAGCTGGATGGTTTGGTGAGGTTGAGACGCCTGAGATGTTAGTAACAGGAGTACAATTAACTCAGAGCGAAGTGTCCAGCAATGAAGGGGGTACCAGATTGGCCAACCACCCCTTCACTTAAAAGGCGCATGGCAGCTCCTTGGGAGAACTTCCTGGCAAATAGAAAGCAAGGAACCAGTGTACCATTATTGCTGCACCACTCTGTCCTAAATTCTGTCTCGTAGTATACGTGGTTCATACCCTGTAAACATCCATAGGAGAAGAGTCAGCTCTCCACTCAAAAACAGGGACTTGATATGGGTGTCTTAAAGAGTGATTGAAGGATGAAACAGTTCAGTGATGAGTACGCGTCATGTAAACCGTCTATTAGTAGTTTAAACATCATTTAACCATAAGCTTAAATGTCAAGCACCCCATCAGAAGCAGAAAGGCCACAAGATTAAACCTTTATTCTTCGGATTTGTTGAGGTCCAGCATCTGCATGTCTAAATGTTATAGGGTGCCAGCCCTTCGTTTCCATGTTGCTCATAGATTGGTTCCACAAAGTATAAGTCACCGGCCTTTGTTCAATTTCATCTTCAAGATCATTCATCTGTCCAGAATAAGAAGGTGATTGCCAATAAACTATAGGAAACCAAAGCATCAGGAGCAAACATTTTAAAACCAAAGAAACAAATCTTGACAAAGAAAGGGAGCGCACAACCAAGAATGTAGTAATACTGTACGGAAACAAAAACAATAAATGTGAAAGAGAATAGATTGAAGAGCAATCATAACTTACAGCAAGTAACGTCGGCACGTAATGTTCATCGGGGATACAGTTGTGCTGCTTCTGAAGCTTCTGTAATGGTTATTGCGAAACGTTAATGAAATAGGTTAGAAACATAGACACAAATGCCGGCAAACAAGCAGCTAGGCCTGTTTTTCAGACCCAAATTCCAAAATGAACTGGAAGCACTTCTCCATTTTAGAGCAGGCTATTACAAAAATTCTTTAACTTACAAGGTTCATCTTTCCCTTACTGGCGTCCACCATAGGACGTCTCTGAACAAGTCATAGGAAAATCACAGTGAGCTAGCATGTAATTGGAATCCCTTCAAATTAGAACATTACACCAATTTTGCAAAAAAAATTTATGTAAAAGACACTGTAGCTCAAGCACTTGTAATTTGAAGTCAGAAGCTTATTTTTTAAAGAAAAAAAAAAGGTAATTGAAATCAGGGGAAGATAAAATAAAGTGGTTTCTCTCTCACATACCTTGCAGAACTTTTGAAAAATTGGAAAGATGACTTGATCATCTACAATAACTTCTGCATGCTTCCGGATCACAGTAATCCACTGCAATTATCCATCACGTTAATTAGTTCTACTTGCAAACCATTTGACCCAAGTACTCAATCATGAAAAGAAAGTTATCAGCTAGTACTGCCAGATTACCCTTGAAAATGAAGTATTCTTTCCAAGTATCAACCCTTTAATTCTTTAAGAGAAATCATTCTCATCTTTTATATGACTTTTCAATTTTTTTTCCCGCAGAGGGAATTGGCTTCTTCATAGAGAGAGAGAGTTCTAACAAATTAGCAAAAACGTTTCATATGAACATAGCAACACACAGAAAAAGTCTACATCTAAAATTAGCAATTAGTACAACAACGGTTTCCTAGCTCCACAGATTGAAGGAACCAGTAGATGTCACCCAGCATATTCGTGTATTTCTATAGAAGCCACCTTAGAAGACGGATCCGTTTTGCAGTGGCAAATTTGGCAATCAAGAACATAAATGCCACCTTATTATCATAATTCAATACATAAATGAAACAACTGACTATTATCAAGTAGATAAACCGTTATCCTAAATCAATCAGACTACCTTACTTGAAAAACAAGAATGAAGCAGCCATAATTTGCTTCTCCTAATCATCCAAAAAACACGGAAAATAGTACACAATTAACATACTAATGGAAATCGTGTCAAAGATAGAAAAACATAAAATCAGGATTGAAGGGAATTACCTGTGATCCTTTCCGCCATTTGTTCTTAGGTATAACTGGTGACATCTTCTGATTATAGCGTCCTTCCTTTTTATCAAGAAAACTGCAAGATGGAACAGAAACTCAGGAAGTTCTGTTATGTGGCAGACAGCCTAAAAGATTTGACAAGGCTCATGTGATTTAGAAAACCCAAGAGTCAATCTGCAATCACACAGCATTTATCCTAGCAGATCAAGTATATCCACTTACCTGTCCACGAAACTCCTTGGAGAAGCCATTAGATAGTTGTAGATATAGCTGAAGTTGTACAATGGAACACAACTGCAAAACGAAAATGGTAGATTCAATCAGAAGCAACAGGAGAAGGGCTGTAGTCAAAGAGAGTAAAAACCTCTAGTCATCTATAATAAAACACCCAGCTCAATCACTCTGTGACATCCAAGTTACCTATACCCAATGTCGCTAGGAGGAATTTTATGAATTAGCAAGTAAAAATAATTTAAACAAAAATTAAATGAGCTAAAAGGTGCTGCTGATAAATATGACAGAGAGAATCAACTGACTTGATAAGCTAAAAAGGTGGGGGTGTTTTTGAAAAACTTTGCTGTAGCAGAGTTTTTAGAATATATTTTGGAATATTTTTAGAAAATATTTTGAGATATTTAAGAGTAGAAGAGTTTCTAGAATATATTTTGAGATATTTTTTAAAATTTTAAAAAAATTTAAACTAATTTTTAGATTTCCTTTTAGAGTACTTTTTAAAATTGTATTTGAAAAACTAGTTTTTGAAAAACACCCCAAAAACAGGGGATCCAAACAGAGTTACTGTTTTTCCATTTATCAGTCCCACTTTTTGCATTGTGATTTATGCATCTAAGAAGAACATTCCTGCTAACTTGTACATATAAAGGATTGACCACCCCATGTAGGTCAAAAATCCAAGTACGCAATACAGCCATCACAAACTACATAAGAACGCCAAAACTTCATCATACAGAGTCTCAAGAATTACTAAACAGAGGCTAATTTGAAGGCAAAACAGAAGAACCTTTCTGATAAGAGAACAAATCTCTGGTTAGCTGGATTTTCCAGAGCTGCTCCAAGTAGCAACCTCTCAGCTTCAATCATGCTAGATTCTCCCCATGCTACCTACACCATCTTTCATGTCAATCAGTGGAAAAGACAGAACTTACTTAGACAACTTATTTAAACAGAAAAGAAGATGGGAAAATATAATTTAAATTCCAAATTAAGTCCTCCATTTTTCTTCTGCCGCGAATGCTTATCAAAACATTGCAACCCACACTTAGGTATTTGAACATCCAATGTGCAACATGTTCACAGTGACATGCAGGAGAAATCAAAGAGAACAAAAGCCAGTCTGCCTGGGTAATCCATTTGTCTATGACCATATAACGCTCTTCCTTTTTTGACGAAAATGTTGTTGTCTATTCTCTGACTTTTCTCCTAAGGACTCATTTTTTTGTGGGTAATGTATGTATATTATTCGGTCATCCCTGTCATAATAGTAAAATATCCATAGAAAAGATGAACCCCCAAGTTTAGATGTTCGTTTACTGACAATCAGATAAACCAATGGATTTTTGCTGTCCTGACTATCAAAAGAAGTCCTTTTTCCTTCAGATGTCTTTTCATTTTTATTATTGGTTCATGCAAAATATACCGGCATCTATCATCCCTCACATTTGCTGCTCTCTGATCAAATTAAGCGCAGACTAATACCCTGCCATCCAAGCAACTAAATGGTGAGCTAGTGAATACAATTCTATTTACCTTAATGCTATTCTTTAACTGACGATTATAAAAGAAAGATGTCTTCGTAGTTGATTCATCAAATACAAACCCAGGTTCCGCATGTATATACACCGAAAAATTTCCCACATCAGCATTCTGCAAATAAGAGGAAAAAATTAAATTAAAAAAATAAATGCCAAGTTGTAAATTCAGCAGCTAGGCATAAAACACTTAGTTAAACCATGCTCCTCCATTCTTTTGAATAAATAAACGA